TGCAATGCATTTACACTTCCCTTTAATGCCTCTACATGTATTTCAAACCTCACTTTCAACTATAGGAGGTGTGCTTTCAAACAGGAAGCTGTAGGAAGTAGTGCAGCAGACCAGAATGTTTTAGGAATAAGTAAGAAAATCTTTTTTTTTTTGTTCTGTAAGACATTATGACCTGAGGTCAGCTGCTTGTTCCAATAGGTGCAGAGGAAGCACAGGTCTTCAGACTCCAGTTATTGTCTTAAAAAAACAAAACTAACTGGAAAAAGCAAAAAGAAATATTTTGTATATTTTCATGGTTTGATGTGGTGTAGTGTGCAGAAACGCATCTAAATTCCATTAAGGACCATGCACTGACACAAGGCAGGCGAGGCATATTCATTTATTTATTTTGTTACGATCAGAATCTGAAACAGGGTTATTGTCAAGTGGGTTTTCACACAAGGAATGTGCCTTGGCATTTTGGTGCATATGGTCTCAAGTCATGAACATAAAATACAGAATAAAAAAATATGTAAAATATCTGTTTTAAACTGCAAAGAGCTGCATAGTGTTTAAAACGAGGAGGATGGAATGGGCAACATATTGACCAAGGACTGTGCAGATGTTCACAGTTTAAATATATACAAGTAAACTCAATGGGCTTTACATTAAAATACACACAGCAAGTAACACAGTGAGGAGAATCTAACGAATACAACCCAATTCAATTCCACTCAACCATGAAAATGTAATGACAAACTTAACAGACACAGTAGCTAATCATAAGATAAAAACCAGCAGAGGTGAGAAATGAACAGAGGCCCAAAGCAGAGCCAAAGCAGGGACTTGAGCACTGGAGCATTGTGTTCAGCACTGCGTGAACGCGTGAGGAACTGAAATGAGAATGTTACGGGAACATTAAACAGATTCACGTGGGCCCAATCGTGGCTCTCTGCTCCCAAACAGTAAACACTGAAGACGGAAAAAAAATCCCCCAAACTTCCTGTCGACTTGTTTATGTATTCCGGCTACACACACACACACACACACACACAAATGCACACTCCAGTGTGTGGAGCGGTTTGCCTTCAGCGTTATTTGCAACAAGTTTGAGCAGATTTAACGTGGCCGGACGTCTGTGGTTGTTCATCTCATTGTTTCACCAGCTGTTTTCGGGCTCGGTAGTGACATAGTCATGACGAGCGCGGAAGCCAGGATGAGTTTACCTGCACAGATCAAGAAGGAGTATTCAAGATTGTATGTACTAGAAAAACGGCGGTGTCCTTCCCATCTTTCAGAATGTTTAAATCCAAACTCTTACTCATAGAAAAAGCAGATGACCGACAACCAAAGAGTTCAAAGAGGGGGCACCTGGGCGGAAACAAAAGGGGATCTTTAGTCTGAAGTGGATCTTTGTTACAGAAGAAACTGGAGACAGGGGGACCTGTCCCACTGAATGCACCACTTGGTGAAGACATTTGTATCACTATACTGCCACCACCTGACTGAGAGTTGTTACTGCCCTGGTGGAGGTTGGAGTTAGTCGCATGTCATGTTGCCTTAATTTCTTCTACACAGCGTAGGCTGTTTGTGTGCTCATTTGGGCCTTTAACCTGTCTACTTTATGCACAGTGGGCTACCACCCAACACAGTTGGTGTTTTCTCTGCCAGTTTAAACTGATACACTAATAATGCGTCTGTATCTTCATGCATGCTTTCTGGATTAGATGTCACAGTTAGAAAATAGGCCGACAGTGTCAGTATGATTTTGTGATAGTGCAGAAGGAGATCTTGTAGATTTCACTCATTGTATTTATCCGGCGGCTGTATTTTCTCACTCTGCTAATACAGATCCCCATGCATAAATTACCAAACAGTAGTTAGACTAAGCATTTGGACCAAATTCTCTCTGGACCATTTATCAAAATAACTTTTTTATTGGTTGAATTCGAGCCCTATTAGCTGAGGTCCGGCTTCCTGCACACACTGTATTCTACATTATTACACATAAAGCACATTTATGGTACTTTAAGGGTACTTGATTGTCTATATAACTTTCTTATATATGTATTGTGTATGTTTCCTACCTACTCTCCTTTAGTTTTGATTTATTTTGTATTAATTGTGTAGCTCTCCTTATGTTTTATTTCTTTTGCCCTTTTTTGAATCTTTGCCTGGTCTGTCCCTGGTACTTTTTTGCATTGATAAATCATCTAATTTTATCTCTAGTACACTTTGACCTTGTATATCCTGGTCTGTTATTCTACAATGGCATCATGGTATTATTATACTTATGTAGCAATTACTTTATCTCGAAATACACTTTGACCTGAAGACAGCTGCTCATTCCAATAGGTACAGTATGAGCACTGGCCTTGTCCTCACATGAACATACCTCGAGACTGCAATTAATAGTAAAAAAATAAAAAATAAATAAACTAAAGTTGGCAAAGTCTAGTCTGCATGTGTGACCTAACTGTTATGATAGGTGACTTCTTTTCGTTCCTCTTATAAATAAAGTAATTTAAATTTCAAACCTGCACTTTTTCTCTCCATGAGGCCAGCAGCATGTCACGCTTCTTTGTATTCGGCTGATTTCGGGCTCCACTCGGACACACTCGGAGATAATGGGCGTGTCCGTCTGTGGTGCGTCTCAACCGGCGGTACAATCGGATGATCCCGGCGGGCGGAGCCAAGTAGGAGGAAATGGTACAGTTGGCTGAAGAAAACCGGCGACGAGCATCAATACCCGGCAGTTTCACCGCTTGTCCAGCAGCCGTCGAGCAAGATACATCTCTCAAGCCGAGCTTCGTTCATTCACTGACACACATCAGCATCTAGCGACTTCATAAACCAAGCAGCAGTTGCATGCCGCAATTTCGAGAAATATCTGTGAAGGGCTCGGAAATTAACGTTGTAGACACACGTAGGATGGAGACGCAGATACATGTGCCCGTCGGTTCGCCGGTAATTAGAAAAATCCCCATTTTCGTGGACGAACACAACGTGACGGAGGGGGCGATGAAGCTCATTAAAGAGCTGAGACCGGCGTGGGACACGAGCGACGTCAAGACCAAGGTAACGTTATCCGCTAAGCTAGCCGTGCAGAGCGTGCTAGGCTAGTTTAAGAACGACAGCTCCGCAGCATCACGGAGGCAGCCAGGAGGAGGGCCGTGGAGACAAACCCACCGGCTATGTTTTAATTATGTTAATTAACGACACACCGTCACCTGCACCACCTTCCTAGACCATAAATGAAGCCGCCTCGTGTTTTAAATGCTGTTGCAGTATTTGTTAGCGAGATAATATGGAAACGTTAGCTGAGCTAGCGAGACGCTCTCTCACTGAAGAACTTTACGCTAGCAGACCGACGTCAGCAGGTAAGTTACCTGAGAGGACGGCGAGGACACGTTTGTGTCACAGACCGCTTTATACGTCCAAAGTGCACAATACGTGTCACCAAATGTAGCACGACGGCCAAGTCACGGTCGGCTTAGTGTCGGTGGCGAGCTGGTGACGTGATGCTTGGGTTTTGGTTGAGAGACACGGTGGAGCAGACACACCTTAATGAGGCTGCTATACAGCTGGTTGAACTACTGACAGTCAGCATTCTTTATTATGTCTCGCTGCTCTCTTGTCGGATGTTTTTAATCCAGTGTGGATGAATGTTAGTTCAGTATTAAATAGAAACATTAACATATAGCTAGCACTGTGTGCAACCTAGTTTACTACTAATACCTAGTAGGGGTGTAACGGTACTTTAATACATGATGTAGCGTTCACAGTATTGTATGTTTGGGTTTTATTCTTCCTGAAAGGTGTATTGACTACAGTTTGAAGCTTAACTTAAAGTTGAACCTATTTCAAGTTGTAATGTTCATGTATTTTCAGTGACGGAGATGTTCTCGATGAGGATACTCAAATTGCTTTGCCCAGGGGCCACTTTTGCAAAATGACAGGAGGCCAAGGGCCCTGTTAATGAACAGACATTAAACCTTCGCACTGGCAGTTCAAAACCCACACAAATTATATAATGTTATAACATGCAAAAGCATCTCATTTCCACTTATAGAGGCCACTTTACATACTGTCAGTCTGTGTATATATAGATATTATATTGTTGTGTAGGAGCCATTAGTTATGGCTGTGTATTGTATCTGTTCATAGTGGGAGCCTACCTCAGGTTGAACAGTGTGTATTCATGTGGCAGGTCATATGTATATGGGGCACAGGTGCAACAGACAGCTGATGATGCATGAGTGACGGGGCGACACCAGAGAGACACCAGGAAGATAAGTCGGTTATCGTATCATCATCTGAAAACCTAATTACACGGGAACCTCCCTAATTACACAGGAACCTCACCCGAAAGTCAAAGAGCCTGGAATCTCTTTATTGAAGCGAGTAAGAAACAGGATCTTCTCCCACACAAGGGTTTCCAAACCCTTTAAACACATCAGGTTGTTGTTAGCAGCAGTATTCACTTTACACAGTAGCAGTTCTATCTCTTCACTATCTGTGCTCAGTGTGCTGACTGTATGTGAAACGTTCCACTGCTGTGCAACAGGAATAAAATGTTTCAGCACGTTTCAGCAAAAATGTCTGTCTTCATGACAGTCAGAGCATGTGAATGCAGCTCTACTGTTCATCAATATAATGCTGTGACTCAGAGGTGATGATGGTTACCCAGCGATCAAAGAATAATGACACTTTACGCACAATTTAGGTGCATTTTCCCTTTAACTCACGAGATGCAGCATATTTTATACTTAATGTGAATATAATTCATACTTTGTTGGCATCTTATTCTGAAAACCGGATGTTCGTCTGAGTCCTTCACTCGCTCCCGATCTGTGCCGTTTGAATGCGTTTACCGTGAATTTCAGCATATAGGTGCACTAACATGTAAGTGTCTGCTGAGTTGACCACGGAGATCTGAGTGTCTGCTGACTTTACCGCAGCGATGTCCAGTAGTCTCCATTCCTCCACCGCTGCCAGTGAGCAACGGACTTTCAAAATAAAAAAAATGCGTTAACGCGCTATAAAATAATTGTCGGCGTTAATTAATGCGTTACTGCGATAACGCGTCAACTTGCCCACCACTAATTATATCTATCTATCTATCTAAATCTTATAATGAAAACGTGAGTAATTGTTGCAGATGTTCATAAAATTGCATTTAATATATTTTAACAAATAAAAAAAGTTGTACCTACACACTAGAGACTTTTGTATAGGCTTAAAAAATAGAAAAACAAAATTAAAAAAATATTTTGAAATTTGTAATGTAAATATAACAGATTCCTTAAAATGGGGGCTAAAAGATATTAACAGAAGTTTCTGCCCATCACTGAAATATTTTTCCTCTTCTTTTCAAAGGAGCATATGAACCCATGGTTGGCATTCTGCCATCAGTTTCCGTCTTTGAACATTATACTCTGTCAGTTTAATATTAAAGAGCGAGATCAGTTAATGTCCAGTGTTTGTAACTGTAATAAAACCAGTACAGCACCGATAAAATGGCTGCACAATTTGCATATTTAAGTAATATCCATCGGCACTTACAGGATGTCAATGGACTCACTGCTCACCATATTCACAGTGTGTTTTGTGCTTTTATGGAGGACTGTTAATAATGAAAGAGAAGCAGTAACAGATTTATTTCTATAATAACATATTTGTAACTTCATGTAGGACGTGAGCTCAGGACCAGTCACTGCTTGTTTTAAAACTTTTTGAGAATAGACCCACAGATCTGAGGTCAGTTAACATCACCATCACGTATGGGCTGCTGGAGACCTATTGCAGAGATATGACCTCATGTTAACGTTTTACAAAAATCTGTCCAAATGAATGATTCCTGAGTGTATTTAGCAGAATGAATGAGATACTCGCGTGAAGAGTTTTGTCTTATATAATGCTTAATAGTGGAACATTAGTTGATTGATTCCTTTCTTTTCTTAGGCTATGAAGATATATTTTCTCCATCTGTGTGTTCATGTTAATGAAAACGACAGATCAATAGGGCTAGGTATCGGTACTACCAAAATAAGCCCAGTACTAGGTAGCATCAAAGCTTCTCCAGACAATCGCTTATCATCGATCCTTTTTGAAGCCCAGATGTGGCAGCGATCAGCAAGCCTCTGTCTGTCTGTCTCTCTCACACACACACACACACACACACACACACAGAGCTTCCATTCACATAATGGGTACTATCCAGTGAAGTACTCTGTATCACTTTAAGGTTGCTGCTACTGGCATCATCATTTTTGAAACAATACCCAGCCCCAATATCAATGTCGGCACACAAAATCACACTAAATACATCAACGAATTAAAGGGAAGAAAATAACATTGAGTGTGCACGCACACAAAAACTTGGAATAGTCGATTATTCCATTATTGTATCCGTCGCTGGTATACATTTTGAGTTCCAGCCACTATGAAACCAACATCTCTCATCACCACAAAATATCACACATGAACGTTTGTTCAACAACACACTCCCTGAAGCTTGTAAAATGATCAAGTGACTGGTGTGTCGTGGCCAGGTCAAAGTCTTTGGTGCGACGACACCATTTACTGCCATTAACCTCCGGTGTCACGGTTTGAACACAGTCGACACCGACCACGTGTTCACAGCCCGCTGGCCGATCTCTCCGGATCCTACACACACACACCTCTGCACCAGAGCTTGTGGTGTTCACCTCTACGGGCCGGACCAGCAGCGCTTTTCTCCAGGTCTCTACAGACCTCCATACGGAGTTTAGCAGCTGCACAACTGGCAACATATTTGCTAACGAGGTCACGGCAGGAAAATGAGTGAGGAGATTGGTTGAGTTTTGGCAGGATGTTTTGTTCGGTTGTTTTGATGGGAGCGGGAAGCACTATGAGTGTTGGAGAGCAGCAGGGCAGCGCTGTTGACAGAAACACCTGATTAGCCCCCCCCCCCCCCCCCGCCACCTGGGCAGGAAGACTTTTTCACTGTGAATGCAACACTCTCCACACAGAGGACAAGAAAACAGCAGAGCGTGCCAGCGGCAACAGAGCAACAGTGTCCTCTTTCAGCTTTCTCACGCTGAATGCCGAATGATTCACCTCCGCCTCAGAGGCCTTGCAGTCGGACCGCGTGCTCGCTGATGGGAAGAAGGAAAAACAAAGCGTCAGGCGGCGTATGGCTGAATGTTTACCTCTGTCTGGGTCCAAGCTTATCGCTGTCTGTCTACGTATTGATCGCCGGCCTTAGCGGCGCATTGTGTGGCGGGGAGAAGGGATCATGTCAAGCGGTGGCAAAGGGCGCGTACACTCGGGTGTGTGCGGTCATAACAGGGATGCCTGCGCACCCATCTTTGTGGTCAGCCACGTGTGGAATGCCAGATATGTGCGAGTGAGCGGCTGGGGGGGGGGCAGCGTGTATGTTGTTATTGTGCTCGCTGCAGTGGGATGGACCGGCCCCGCTGGTTTCCATTGGTGTGATGTTGCTCGGATACTTAATGGCCTAGCTTTAGACACAGAGGGCTTTTTTTTGCTTGCTTTTCATTTTCGAAAGAGGCGTCGGATTTAACTTGTTGACCCGCTGGCGCTACACCCGACACCACCCTGCAGACGAGTCGAGCGGTTCTGTCTGCGGTCGGCGGGGGGGATGGTGTGATTGGACGTCCGCACCCGACCCCATCCTCTACGCCCCGCCGTGCTGCGTTCAGGACACTCGTCAAAGTCCTGTGCTTTAACTTGCTGGATTTATGACGCCTGCAAACTGTAGGATCTCGTCCTAGCATGCGTTTTGAGGGTCTGCATTGCTGTTATGAACATGTAAAGCAAAAATATATTTACTGTTTTTTGAGTGTAGTGTTGTTGGGCAAAAAATCCCTGGAGATGCATGCTGGAAATATGCCTGTAATAAGCCAATACAGTACATTAATGTATTGTAAGCGTCATATCATTAAGACATTGATAGGACATCAATATATAGTTTATACTTCATATATAATATTAGTTTTTAAATGATTGAATGTGTCAAATAAAAGCTAATCAAAAACTGCTTGGCATTGTCGGTTATCTGCGGTCTGAAGGCATGCATGACCGTGGTTCAGTTAAGAATGCTGCTGCGTAATAACGTTTCCCTCATCAGAGCTGCATGGTGTCAGCGCCGTCGGTCCTGAGCTGAAGACAACCGATGGCTTCAGAGAACTAATTCAAGATGTTTTTCGGGAGCCGCAGTGGTGCTGTGCAGTCAGAGGTCGGGGGTATTCTTCTCACGTCTATTCTTCTTCCTCCTCCAGCTCTTCACCGACGGAACCACCAACAAACTCGTGGGCTGCTATGTGGAGGACAGTCCAGAGGACGTGGTCCTGGTCCGGGTATACGGGCACAAGACCGAGCTGATTGTGGACCGAGACAACGAGCTCAAGAGCTTTCAGGTGGCGTGAAGGGTCGCCCTCTCCTGTGAATTAACAATGCCTCGGGATAGTTTCTCCCATCTAAATCTTGTTATTTTATTTCCTGTGTCTCCTCTAGGTGCTACATGCTAACGGTTGTGCCCCTCGCCTCTACTGCACCTTTCAGAACGGCATCTGCTACGAGTTCATGCAGGGGGACGCTCTCGGGACGCAGGACGTCAGGGATCCTTCCTTGCTCAGGTAGAGCCGCGGGACCGCTCTGCATTTATACTGTAGAATAGTGTTATTGTGCTCAGAATCCTCCGAGGTTTTCTACATTCCACATAGAAACACAAACTACGACACAGGCAAGAGGCAAACGCATGCGAGTCTCATGCAAACATTGCAAAAACAAAGATAGGTCTGGAAGCAGAGGAGTTGCTCTCGTCACTCTATTACTACAGCAGTTATCGTAATGTGCTCAAAGCGATCAATACTACCACTTAATGTGGTCACACACATTGTCCTGGGTGTTGGCTTTTAAACACTCTAATGTGTGTTACACAATGTACTCAGTTGACTCTTTCCAGAAGCTTCTTTATAGCTTTAGACTAATACAGGATAGTCAGCAATGTTAAAATGTAGCCACACTGATAACCGTGTGTATCTGTCCGTCTCCTCAGACTGATATCCGGGGAGATGGCTCGTATCCACGCCATCCACGCACACAACGGCTGCATCGCCAAACCCAACCTCTGGATCAAGATGCGGAAATACTTCTCCCTCGTGGCCACCGAGTTCACCGACCAGGCGTCCAACGTTAGGTGAGATCCGGCTCCTCGGTAGTTCTTGGTAGGAGCTCACTTGCACATACACACTGTGATAATGATGCAAAATGGCTCCTGAATTTGCCTGTAACATGAGTCAGTGAAGTAGTTTTATCCAACAGTTTTGCACCAGGTTGTAACAAGTAACTCGGTTTAATTTACTAGTTGCCTGAGGTAGTCGATCTAACTCGTGGTGTCATAATTCATCTCTAATATCTGTCTGTGTTGCTGTGAAAACATCTCCTTCAAACAGCTCGATTTATTCAAGTTTCTCACTAGAACTACATTTTTCAAGATCACGTTAAAGTTTACCTTCGCTGAACGCACCATAACGTAACTGACTGCCACCGTCCTGTCAAGTTAAAAAAGGATTGGCTGTTTACAATGTAACACTATCAGAGATCGGCGACTAGAAAAGTGCTGATGTCCTGATCGTCAGTAAAAGTTAATTTCACACTGTGATGGTTAATGTTAAACTTTGTAACTAGGGGGATCCGTTCCACTACTAATGACTACTGAACACACGGCAATGTTGGCCAGTCGGTCCACCAGACCGGCCAACGTTGTATCACTTCTTCATGTCCGGTACCGCAACCTTGAGTATCTGCTGATATCCATCCGATTGCGTCTCTTTCACTAAGCTGTTGATGATACATTTTGTATTGATGCACTTTGCTTAACCTAGTCATCTAAAATATATATGTTGTTCTCCTCCCCTAAAGGTAGAAATACAGAGAAAGGAATTTAAATTCCGGTCTAAAATACTGGATATAACTCGACATCAAAGTAGCCTTCACTTTAATGACGGTTGTGGACCGATAGTTTGAACTTATGGATCTCATCAGATTTGACTTTTTTCTCCTATAAGAACGAGCAGAAGAACCCGTTATGGTTCTAATTAGCACCTTTTATTTCTAGGAGTGTCGTATCATCGGCTGCGTTGTGAACTGAGCCGGTTAAACCTCCATTCTCATTTACATATTTATTTTATCTCATGTCAGAAGTCATTCCCATAATTCATAAGTCATAAACCCAGGTCAATGACGATACTACCTATAGTTATGGCCACATATAAAATATAATGGCTGATGTGATTTATGAATCACTCTGCTTCTGACCTAATAGACTTTAAATGGAGCAGGTCGACATGGCCAAAACGTTCTTTTCCAATATAGGTTGTTTCATATATCGATAACAATATGTAACATGGTAACGCCTATTGTTGGATGCTCTGTCTGAATTAAATACGTGATTTTATTATAGAAAATGATTTCGAATGTTCTTGCTATTATCAGTTCAGACAACTTAATCGTGTATCGCGATATCTCGGTACATGATTTCATCACGACATGATTCCATTGAAGGTAGATGGATTATCATATTGAATTATCACCCAGGCCTAACTGTTAATAACTCCTAGAACGTATCCACTCCTACAGCGTAAGGCTGGTGCAGTTAGTAGAATATTGTATAGAACTTTGATCTGTGGGAAAGAAGAAGGGAGTTCAGGCTGAAGACGGCTCCTTTTTTTGGTCTCGGCACCGGACCCCTCGGAGGTGGAGCGCTTCATAACCTGGCCAGCTGCCCGGTCACAGCTGATATCTCTGTTCTGATGGCTGTTAGATTAAGTCCAGCATGAGGCTTATGTAACTGTAACAATAATAGCCGACTGGATTAGGGAGTCTGAGGCATGCAGCGGGCCAGCAGATGTTTGCTCAGCTCAGTGTATCGGGTCACTGTGCTCTCCTCCTTGGTTACGCAGACAGCCGGCGTGTCCCAGTCCCGGGCAGCCGACACTTGTTGCATTTTTCGATGAACCGGCAGAGATCTGCGTGATATTTCCCTGTGTGATACGGAAACATGCCGCCCTCCTCCGTGTGATGTCTTTGCCACACAGCAGGCAGGGATTGAACCTCTGGGACTCAGGTAGAACTCTCCGAGGAGGGAGGGAGGGAGGGGGAGAGGGAGGGAGAGGGGGAGAGAGAGAGGGAGAGAGAGAGGGAGAGAGAGGGGGAGAGGGAGAGGGAGAGAGAATTAAGCCCATTACAGTTAGCACAGGGGTCTCTACTCGGCTGAGACGCTGACTAGGCTACTTAACCCTTTCTCCACTAGCCCATGAGGCCACTTTCATCACATGACCACAGGTGAGCGTCGTATATTCCTAAAGATAATAAACCACAAATCGTATGTTTAGAGTCGGAGACACAGCAGTGTTGCCATAGTGACTCCGCAGCACCACGAGTGTCCACAGAGAGCTTGTTTCTCTGTAACCGAGCCAGCGGAGCCCCACGGAGCCCCACGGAGCCCGTGTGCTCTTTGTGTGTGTTGGTCTCAGTTGTTTTCTCTTCGCACGTGTCCCCGCTTTGTGGTGACGATCCCAAACACAAGGAGAAGCTGTGTGTCATGGTCTGGACCAACTAGTGTCGGTGGCAAAACCACAGACACGTCACACAAGCTGCCTCGGCTGGTAGCCATGCTCGTTTGGCCCGCGTTGTGTTCGCTGACACTCGTGTTTGCATATTTTTGTCACAACAGTCCGAGAAGAGAAAACTGTGGAAGAGTGTGTGTGTGTGTTTGTGTGAAATTGCTGACTTCTATCCCCGTCTCTGCGTCCCTGTCCAGGATCCAGCAGGAGGTTCCCAGCAAGGCGGTGCTGGAGCAGGAGATGGTGTGGATGAAGGAGCACCTCTCCACTCTGGGCTCCCCCGTGGTGCTCTGCCACAACGACCTGCTCTGCAAGAACATCATCCACAACGAAAAAGAGGGTAGGCTGCGGGGACGAGGGGATCCCCTGAAGACTCTGTACTTCATCGGGGCATGGTTTTGCAGGACGTAGTGTTGCACGCTTTGGCCCGTTTGTCAGAACGCAGAACTAAAATGTGAACTGGTTTGTTGAAAATGAGAAGTTGGACTGAGTGGTAAAGCATGGGCTAGTTTTATTTCTAAAGCCTGGAAATGTAGGCAAATCCATGCATCCAGTATGAGATCAGGTATAGGAGGTATTTTACTGTAATGTGTGTATTTGGTGTCGGACAGATTTTCATGTAAATCAATACTCCTGAAAGGTTGATATCAGAATATACAGTAGACTTTTGTTGTTGGGCATCATTTAGTTCTAAATGTCAATATGTTTTAGCACTGTTTAGTTGAGCATGTTTTCCAGTATGATGGTTGATGTGAGTCATAGGTTAGGTCAGACATGTCAAACTCGAGGCCCGCCACGTCATTTTATGTGGCCCGCGAATCCGCCAGCTTCTTCTTTTTTTTCTTTACTTTTTGAAAAAAAAGACTTGAAAATAAAAATATCCCCATGGTCGAAATTACGAGATAGAAATTTGAAATTATGAGATAGCATGTTGTCTGTGTACCGACATTAAAACTATCACAACAGGTGAACAGGAGAGGCAACGGCCCGTAAAGCGGTTTTCCGCTTTACGGTTAAAGTGATTGAGTTGAAAATGATCGACAAATAATCCCAAAATGTCCACGAAGAGAAAAATTGATGCAGGGGGAAGAAAATGTAATGAAAGATGGGAAAGCGAATACATGTCTGTGCTTCAAGGAGAAAAAACGATCTGTCTTCTGTGTTATGATGCGTGTCGGTGATGAAGGATACAATTCACGTCGGCATTTTGACACCAAACACGGAGCTAAATTTAGCCTCCAAGAAAAACATCAAATTGTCCAAGAATTAAAAGGCAGACTGCAATCACAGCAGAATATATTTACAAAAGCTACAGCCCAGTGCATGCTAAAGGTCTGTGAGCAGGTGTGCTCCGACCAGATACAGACTTTTACAAATGTCAGTTTGTGAAGAAACACCATCGCAGACCGAGTTCAGGAACTAGCAGCAATCTAACAACACAGCTAGCTAAGAGATGAGCAGGTACTCGTCTTCTTCATTAGCTGTTGATGAAAGCACAGACAACACGGATACATCATACATTAGTGCTGGGCGGTATGACCAAAAATGTGTATCACGGTATTTTGTAAGATTTTTTTTTTCGCGTTAACGCATTAATTAATTAACTCCGAAAACTAACACAAGAACTGGCCAGCAGCGGTGAACAGCTGTTTGTGTGGCATGTCTTCCGTCACTTCCTGTTTCCTTCACCTACATTCCCCTGGGTCCTAAGTCCCTCCATGTACAGCTTCTTATCACCCTCTATGTACCAACGTACATTTCTAACAAATACCACACATATTACACGGTAATCAGCGTTGCATTTGTGTCTGACCAAAATTCCCAAAAAAGCATCCAAGGACCGTAATCACATACACTCTTCGTATTCCAACACATGTTTTCGGCTGAGGTGATGGAGTAAATTGCTAGTGTTGCCACCAGAGGCAATAACAGCGGCTCGACAAACTTTACAATATATCGTCTTTTGATCTACGTCAAATTGCATCTCTGGTCTCTCTCTGCTCCTTCTGCATCGCTCTTTTCTGTTCTTTAATGTAGCGACGGAGCTTCTTCTAGCTGTTAGCAGACTGTTGTGCTAGCGAGCAAGCTGTACCCAGCATGCCATTCGGCGGTGTAATTTTATAAATGTACAATTATTAGTGTTACAAATTGTTTGTGTCACAAACTGTTGTGTCGTGGTGTTTTGCCCTGTTAAAGATCGTTAGTTGTGGGTTATTAATTGTTGTGTTATAACCATGATTAGGGGTCCCTCTCAATACACTTAAGACAACTAGCTCCGACCGCAGCGGCCTAAGCTGCGAACAATATATTTTGCTGCCAGTTGAAGAGCGACAGCAGTTGTTTCGGCTATGCACCGGTATGACAGTGTGTGAAAAATAAATATCATACGGGAAATTAAAACCGCCCAGAACTATCATAAATCATCTATCAGTGTTCATAAGAGGCTGAAGGCAGACTGGACCGATGTAGCTGCCGTGCACGGGACGACGACGGGGAGGGACATTAGTGATGCAGAGAGGTGACAAAAATAGCTTTGAACAAAGTTAATGTAATAACTTGTGTTTGATGATATTTGTCTTTGTTATTTTCTTTAAAAGTTTGATCTTTGATAGAGTAATGTGGGTTTCTTAACCCTAAATTAAAATGATTTATGTTATAACAACAGAAATATGCTTAAATATAATTTTACATTTATATAACTGCATGTACAATATTTTTACACTTCAATAAACAATCAAATGCAGACACAGTTATTTACCAATATGTTAGGGAGTAGTTACATTTACACAGTCTTACATTTACAACCGGCCCTTTGAGGGAAACCATGATGCTGATGTGGCCCGGAGGGAAGATGAGTTTGACCCTCCTGGGTTAGGTCGTGTAAAATTCTAGTGGCGGTTGCAGCATAAAAGTGTCTCCCCGTGATCCCAAAAAATGAAAAAAGTCATCTCTGTTTGAAGTTACAGTCAGAGGCATGAGGTCTCCAGTAGGTTCCATCTCAGGGGTTAAATCAAATATTGGGTTCACAAACAACTTTTTAGGTTACGGTTTCACCAGCTGATCCAAAAAGTGACTTAGCGAGCCGACGAGAACGCGCAACGGGTACAGAACACGCAGGACATAAGGCCCCGCCCCCACAGTTCAATAGGAAGAAGGTTACTTCCAAACAGACTGCTTCCTACTTCCCAAACCACATATGTGTTGAGGATGTGGAGCAATTGCTGATCGCAAATTTCTTCTGGGATTTTTTTTCTTTAAATTATTTTTTTTTTTTGACTGTTAGCTATTTTATATTATTATTTCATCATGGCGTCCCGCAGGACGTTAACCAGCGACAACACTGAACCTTTTACCTGAATGTCGTCCCACGCCACAGCCCGAATGTTAGTGAGCAGCCCCCCCCATTAACGTGGTTACATTGTCGACGTCGTCTTGTCGTCTCTCAGGTCACGTTCGCTTCATCGACTACGAGTACTCCAGCTACAACTACCAGGCCTTCGACATCGGCAACCACTTCAATGAATTTGCAGGTTTGTTGAGACCTCGGTGTGATTTTTACCGTTGTAATCCACATAGCGTGGTTTATCATGCGTGTCCTTGTGCTTGGTCAGGAATGGCGGAGTTGGACTACGGGCTGTACCCCAGTTGGGAGATGCAGATGGAGTGGCTCAGAGTCTACCTGCAGGCCTACAAACAGTTCACCAAGAAAACAGGGGACGTCAGCCCGCGAGAGCTAGAGACGCTCTATGTGCAGGTCAACAAGTTCGCTCTGGTGAGGAGGAACGTGTGTCAACACACACACACGCAGCATCTCATACACGCTCTCCAGTGTCTCACATTACTTCACCTGATCTCTGATTCATGTCTCTCTCAAGGCTTCTCATTTCTTCTGGGGCTTCTGGGCGCTCATCCAGGCCAAATACTCCTCCATTGACTTTGACTTCCTAGGGTAAGTCGCCATGTGACCGTTTGTGTGTGTGTAATCCCCCCCCCCCCCCCCACACTAGGATATTACATGATAGGTCGGCCTGTGTTTGAAAGGAATCGGTCCGTGTGGGCTAAACGAAGCATTATGAAAGCAAAGGCCAAGTCTCATGTCCTTTGTGAGCCTCCATACCTCTTAACACTTCCTGTCCACAACCTGGTACCACACCCAGCAGCTAGTATGCCTCCCCTAGTGGTTCACAGAGAGGTGGTAGACCTAGAGAAGGCAGCGCGAGGGTGAATATCACTCTCACTTGGCGTGTTAGACTGTCAAAAATGATTTTCAATGGTTGAACATTCAGAACAGCCTTAACAGTGATGTTGGTCATACATTACACTTTGATTTGATTATTCTTATTCAAATGAATGCAGCCAGTTTGTTTGTTTTTTTTCAAAACTTCTATTGAGGTTTTCAAATGTCCCGTGATTTCACTTCAGTTTAGCGGCTAGAGGGGCCTCAGTGGGTCCTCCCAAGTGTTGAATATCAAGGGACAAATAAATCGACTTTATCTATAGTAAGAACGCGTTCTGTATCAACATGCGTCAGTTAAACATTTGACATTTTGAGAAACTGTCATTCTAGTTTTCATTCCCTCAATTTAAAGCTTGGGTTCCTCCTGTACCGTCATCGCTCTGCTCTTCTGTCCCACAGGTACGCCGTGCTGCGTTTCAACCGCTACTTTGAGACCAAACCAGCGGCCATGGCCCTGCAGATCCCAGAATGAGAGGAGGCGGACAGGAGACAGGAGGGAGGGTGTAGCAGGTTGTATTTTTTTTAACGCTGGGAACTCTTCTCCACGTGGGCGGGCTGCTGACGGACTGCTGCCCGGCCTACCCCGGCATCCTGTTCTTTTTTTGTTTTCTGCCACGAGCAGCGGCCGCTCCTTCATCGCTCCAACTCAGCTCCTCGTCTGTCCCAGGCTCTAGCTCGAGACCGATAAAACTTCCATGGGTTCCGTGTGTGAAAGTGTGCCCCTGCGTGCGTTTGTGTGTCTTAATGTACTCCGATGATTCTCCGGCGTCTTGCATTCCCTCTTCGGTGCAGCTGAACAAGGCGTTATTGACCCAATACTCTGGCGCCCCAAAATGTTCCACAACGTCGGTAATGAAGGTGAAAAGGGGGACGAGACGTCTAAAGAGGAGTTTGATGGCGACACCGACGGATAGCTTGTTCTGCATTGTGTCTGCGGCTCAGTGGCCTCGTTAGGGTTAGAAACATTCCACCTGGGATTCCTCCCATTGCTGCATGTGGTGTGTGTGATGACAGCGTTCCTCCTTTTTCTTTTTTCTCCTTCTTTGATGCTAAGTGCTCGTAGCTGCAGTTCTTCCGCATCTCCCAGAAATCACCTGTGCATCAAACACTGGGGGGGGGGGGGGGGGGGCGGTACTCTGTCGCCTTTCCTCTTGATATATATACATACTATATCTTTTCTTGTCTTTGTTGAGCTTCTGTCACTTCCTCTTGTAGTTACCCCAAGCAAGCTGCTGCTGCTGCTGGTAGACACGTGACACAAGCTTGTGTGTGCTGGTGGACTTCTCCCCAGACGAGGAGCAGCAGGAGGGAAAGCTTTCCAAGGACTGTTGTGTTATAGCAATCGGTGCTAGAGATGTAGCTAAACGTGCATTTATTTATTGGTGTGAAGACGGATTGTTTAACATCTCAGGTGAAACATCTCTCCGGTTTGTGGTTGCTGTAGTGAGCGTTGCTTCGTGTTGAATTGGGCAGTGACACGAAGCAGGAGAGGAGGTAGACGCTGGGTAAAGAACAGCGGACCTGTGTTAACGTCACGCTGAACTGTGTGTGTGTGTGTGTTTTCCACCTACTTGACTTTTATGGTTACAGCGAAGCGCTCCGTTTAACTTTCCATTTGGATGTTCCAGACCTCTTGGAAAATCACCACCTCAGTCACCCCCTCATGCCTCTCCTCCCATCACAGTTTAGTTTGTATCTGTTAGAGTGAGGCAGTAGCATGTTAAACACCAGAGGCTGCTCTCAGGCCTCGCACTGTAATCTATTCACATCCCAGATGTATCGGACACGCATTGTGAGCCGTAATCGGACGTTGCGTAAGACATTGTTGGGGTCAGATCGAGTATGGCTTTCAAAGGGAGGCAGGAAGTGGTTATGAGTCGACCTTGTTGCTGTCATGATATCAACTTTCACTCTGATGGAAAAGCATCTGACGCACCACAAGTGTGGTCATTTCAAAAAAAAACAAACACGGACACACCAACGTGATCTCAGCTCGATGCAGACGGTCCGTGCTGTGATGCTGTGATGCTGTAATACGTGGTTAATGTGGTTAACGTGGTTAAACAGCCACAGTTGGCTTCAGGCAACAAAACTACTCGGTTAGGGTTGGAAAAAAACTTGAGTGCTAGGGATGCAACGCCATGTGACTCGGTGACGTAGCGTCACATGATGTCATTGGTCAAAAAAAATAACTCCATCTTTGGTTTCACAAGAACGCCCCCCCCACACACTCTTAAATATTCAGTTTACAATGATTTATCTAAGCTGCTAATCAACACATTAGACAGGCTTGATGGCATTTTCTCAGTTTTTGCTTGAAATATTATATAGTTTTTTTTTATTTTTTTTTTTATCATATAATCATTTCCGGCTAAAAGCTTCTCCAGAGTCACAGGAGACGTCCAGCTGTTTCCACAGGCGGAGCAGTAGCAGCCATTGCCTGTAGATGTAGATGTAGAATGTTCCTCACTCATTGTGGACACTCAGATGTAACGATACCTCTCCTTTTTATTCAGCTGGCCTTCTGCCTTCTTTAATCTGCAGATCCATCATACATCATATCTTCCTCTGAAGCTGTTCGTCCATGCTGGCCTCCAGTAAAAGGGGGCGTGTCCTCTCGTCACACACACACACACACACACACACACACACTGCGGGATATCCGTCCCCTCAGACACCCAGCAGGGGGAGACACTGAGCCCTGACCTTTGTCCCCCCCCTGCAGGTCTCATGTAACAGACGGGCTCAATAATTTACAGAGTGAGCAGAAGATGGTTTATAACTGATGGTTTAGAGTCAGAGCATAAAGTGTTTTCAACAGGGTTAGAGAGTCACTTACAGAAAGGGGCTCTCGTGTGACGACAAAAAGCTACTGGTCTCAAATCAGTGCATCAGTGGTGCACTTTAACTGTAGGATAATCAAGAGGCCCTCGTGTTAGTCGAGTAATCTGCTTAGATTTTCAGACAAAAGCCAAATTAGTGAACTTGCTGCTTGAACGCACAATCCTCGTAGGAATTCAGCCTGGATAGAAAATATAAAAAGGCAGTTTGCACTCGATGAATGTCTCCATCCACTTAATGGATGACACCGACCCTGAGTGGAACTCAAACTGTTGACACAGTTTGGTTTTTTTACGAGAGAAGGGTCATGTTGATCTAGTTTTCCCTCTGAAAGTGAACACTGGAGCAGTCGGTGATGAGCTAAATGTGGGGTCGACCTGAAATCACATTCCACACAGACTGGAGGTTGTCCCTAAAAACTTTGCCCTCTTTTAGAAGTGGGCTGATATTTTAGCAGCTGCTTGGCCCTTGGTCACCCTAACCCACTGTGTTGTTTCTATTGCATCAAAAAGTTTGGTACCAAAATCATATTTACTCCGGTGTGTATTCTCACACACTGCATTGTAAAACTACTGAAGTGACCTCATCTTTGCACTGAAGAACACATGGACACTAGTAACCATACAGTATGTTATAGGCACAGTCCATCAAAATCCAAAACACTCTGAGTGAGCGTCTTCAAAAAGTCGCTTAACTCCAGGCTTCAAAGCACTGTTTCTAACCGCCTTCTTTACCTGAAAATGTCAAGTCTATGTAAACATAGCTAACAGTGATGTCACAGTGTACCTAGTACACATCCACATCACTGCAGCCAAACATTAAACCAGTACGAAATGTTCAGTAGGCGTTAAGTTACTCTACACAAACTGGCACTGGACAACAACTCAATTGAAGTGATTGATTTAACAGAACAATTTCAACTCGAGGTTCTCTTGCTAGCTTTTTCGGGAGCTTTCAATTGCATTACATGGGCTGTATTTAGAAAGTGCATGCTGTGCTAGCAGTGTGCACTGATGTGGCTGAGATGTAGCATTCAGTATGCAAACAAGCAGAATATACAGTAGGCCAAAAATACCCAGATGTACTGATTTGGAACAAAACTTCTCGGTGTGCATCAGACCAATCCGCGCCTACGGTATCCCACAATGCAAAGCGCTGGAGCGGCACAGTCTATTGTCCCAACAACAAGTTGCCATGGAGATAGGTGTGTTGACATGTTAGAAAACGTTTAAGTTAAAAATGATATGACTTGACGTTGCATGTTTTTGCCTCAGCTGCATACTGTATACTACAAGTTATTTCTTATTCAGGATGACGTTGTTGACAATGTCCTCATGACATCACACAGTGGGTCAGGTGAAAATGAGCCAATCGAGAAGTTGGTGTTGGCATCCAGTGAAGTCATTGACAGCGTGTTTAAAGACCAATGAATGCATTAAGGTTCCATGTGTTCATGTGTGTTTGTTTTTTTTTTGGCGACCCAGACGTCTGAATCTGTTCCACGCAGGCCGTCAAAGACTTCCCCCTCTCTACGTCGGGCCTTACGTGGAGCTTTCGAGCCGTTTAACAGGGTTTATTTATTGAGTGCATCTGTTGCATTTCGCACCTTTTTTTTTTTTTCTTTTTTTTTTTGCTCTTTTCTAATCATACCAAAATGTTAAAGCTTCAGAGGGTTTGCACTGCAGTTCATTTGAGATTAACTATTTTTATGTGTGCGTGTACTAACTTGATTTTAAGAAACACTGTACAGATAACTGTTTTCTTTTGTTTTTTTCTTCCTTTGTATGCTAATATGTACTATTTTGTAAAGTGCTTGGAGCGCTGTCTGAAGGGACGCAGCGTTCCGCTCGCACCATGTGACTGTAAATGTGCTCATCCGACTGCTAGAGGAGACGGAGGATGTAAATACTGTAAGAAATACTGTGAAAAAGCTTACTGTACAGTGATCCTTCACACCTGTGGGAGTGGCGAAGAATTATTTAACAGTTAGTAAATATTTCCATTAAAATGTATAGAATAATAAATGAATAAATACAAATTGTCTCTGTGCTTTTGATTGGTCTGCTCTCAAACTGTTCTGGGAACCCATTCAAAAAAATAAGTCTCCCTTTGACCTCCTGTTTGCGTCTCCGTGCCAGCTGACCTGGTGCCTCGGCCTTAACAGGAGGGAAGGAAGGAAGGAAGGAGGAAACTTGTGCTGGGGGACGTCCTGCCAAAACACACGGAGGCCAAAACAGTACAGTATAGTGCTGACTCCTAACATCCCCGACATTGAGCTTTTCACCTCTCTTAATAATACAGACTTCATCTGTATTATTCTACTCCCTCTCTCACACCATCACTTTATTTTAATACTTTGGCAGCCAACTCCAGTTATAAACGATCAAGAAATAAAACAAGCGATTCATTTTTGAAGTGGATGAAATAAAAAATATTCATCCAATAGGTCGGATATCGGTAGCATCGGCGTAGGAAGCATTGGAAATTGTGAGTGGGACAATCGAATAGGGAGTTTTTTTATTTATAATTTTTAAATTAATGTCACCTGTATAGTGGTGCCTTTAACGGGTGGTTTGATACTCTGTCTGGCTTTGGAGTGCTGCAGGAATGAGTCTCATAACCCAGAAACGTGTTCGCATTTTTGCACTTCCGGTCCCCTCGTCTCAAAGTCGATAACGTTTATGTGAAGAGATTTTTACCATTTTGTCCTACGACATAAAGCACGTCGGTAAGCTTTAAGTGTCTTAAACAGGCTAAAGGAGATCACCATTACCCTGAACTATTTAACTATAGCTTAGTTAAGTGGTGGTGACGTGAGGTCTCGTGATCGTGGTGTAGTTCCTTTATAGCCTGATGTTGGCTTTTTAGTTCTGCCGATTGCATTCATAAGAAAAAAATCAATGGTGTTCATTCTTGAAGACTGTCTTGCGTAACGAATCGTGTCAGTATCCTATACTGCGTAAGCCACAGCTCATTTCCTGCATTGATCCAAAATTCAATTGAGAAATCCCATCGTCCTTTTGAGGGAACCAGTGTGATGCTAACTCACAGCACCATAGAGAAAAATGATACATGTTGGGTACAATGGGTACATTTTGTAATTTCATCCAGAGGAAGTAGTTGGCCCCAGCTCGCATATTTGAAGACATTAAAAAGCTAAAAGTACAGAATGATACATGATGCTGAGAGCCAGTTATCTTGGAGCCTTTGTTGACTTATTGACGGAAGGCATCAACACAACAACCGTTGACCACCTTTCATGGAAAGCAATAGTTCATACTAATCACTTCATAGTTGAAGATTTTAATAAAAGAAAAAATAGCTCACAATGTGATCCAGTAAAAGTAGAAAATAGATTTTTTTTAAATTGTAAATGTTTATTTGGATCTTGGCTCAACAGCATTCAGTGGCTTTATTTCAGCTACTTAAATAGTTTAAAAATGAAATCACTGAAACGCTGTTAAACGAGACTTTGTTTAATGCATTCTGGATACTTTTCTCCGTCTCTCACTCGCCGAGGAGGACAAGGAGCGAGCGCGGATGTATAAAGTGTGCCAGCAGATACGCGAGTTTAGCCGTAGCCGTAATTAGTGGTATTAGTTACGGGTGTGCTTGGCAAGTTAACACATTTTCAAATGTTGCATGTTGATTTACTAAGACTTTTCCAATGTGATTAATCAGTTTACACAAGATGCTAATTTAGCTGCTGAGACGTGGGGAAAATACAACATGGACGGGTGCGTTGGGCTGATATAATGATTTAATCCAGGGATGAGCTGAATCACTGTACCAACTGAACCAAAGACCTGTGAGGAGAGACTTGTCCCGGTCTCAAACACACTCGAACATACTTTTAAATAAAGTGAAAAATTCATACCACACACAATTAGCACAACCAATTTATTGTCTTTCAAGAAAAAAAACAGAAAAACAACGCAAAACTCTGAAAACATAGAGAAACGTACACATTTAAATTACACAGGCTCTTATAAACAAAATAAAGTCTCTTTCTATATTTACATCAGCAGGGGCAACGACAGGTGACTCCTCAGCATGTCTCCGCTAAAATAAGATAAACATTTTTCCTCTGATATTCATCTCTGTGCACAAAAGCCGCCATCTTTACTCTACACAGCCCTGACCCTGATTGTTTAAGATGAGCCCCGAACTGCCATGTCTGAAATGTGTCTTTTTCTCCGCCATTTTGATTTGTCACCATTGCAGTTAGCTAAAGGTGGATCGACCACAGCGGTATTTAGGTACGCTAAGTTTTTGTTAAATAGTCGTAACGGTCAATATGGTTATTGACTGATGAGAACAAAGACACCAAAACTATTCGTTTGCTCAGAAGTGCTTCAAAAGGCTAATAGCAATTTTTTAGCTAACAGTAACATGCTATTAGCTAAAACTACTACTATCAAACTTACTTCCTGCTATTAAAGAACGTGACTTATGCTAAGTGCTAACATGGAGCCTAATATCGTGCTAAATCGTTAGCACGGAGCACCATAGCCAACAATGTACTGAGGACCAGAACCCGTTCAAGAGAGAATCCCATCACCTCCGTTAACTCCAATGGTCCTTTTTACAGCAATCAATAGCTCCCGATAGTTAGCAGCGTATGCTAGCAGCACCGGAATGGACCGTTCGTGAGGTCCAAGGTTTGCTGATAACAGTTTAAGCTAATGAACCACACTGGATAAAGTTAGCAACGCGTAACGGTAAACGAGGCAAGAGAAGCCTATGAATTGTAACTTCTGTTTTCTTAAGGTCATTACATCAAACAATCTGTAGTTAGAGGGATAATAGCTTCTACATATTTTAGTTTTTTGCAGAATAGGGCGATTTAAATATCTGTATTGAATATCATATTTTATCAGCTAAATTTAACATGTTGTCGTGTTAATGCAGAGCTGTGGATGCAGGTGATGGAATGAGCGTACATACATTTTGGAGTACGAGCCATTACAATAAAGTTAACGGTACACAATAATAAGGAAGAGAGATATTTTTGTGATACATTGCTAGTGGAATGGATTTAGAATGCATATCTGAGACTTCTACACACTCTATAAACAAAAACATAACATAGGGTTAAGTTATGTTTGGCTTTGTGTCTCTGTTGCAGCTCAGCTGACTTCTGATTGATGGATATGGGAGAGGGAAGTTGGAGGAACTATGTGAGATTAAAAACAAGTTACTTAAAACAAAACACTGATGTCACTGCATCCATCTGTCGGTGTTCTATATGAATATTGTAAATCGCAGTTCTGTCTTAACGATCTAGTGAGTCACGTGATGATCAAGCGTTTTGAACTTCCGTTGACGGGACTCTCTTTAAAGGGCTCTGCTGAGGACAAGTGGATGACTTTGGTTTCTGCGTCCTCATGAAGTTCCCCAGGGCTTCAGTCACCCCGAAACTTTACTTTCCATTTCTTTCACTTTGCACTTTGCATGCTCATAACCATTAATTGCCCTTTTCCATATCTCTGTAGCAGCCACTGTAAAGAGAGTACGTGCTGCCAACGAACAACAGCTCCCATTTGATGTGATTGATTCGTCTCTCTGTTAAGATGTATGAGGAACGGGAAAATAAAAGATTCATTAAAATGACTTTCTGCTTTCAAATATGAAAATAATTCCAGCGCAGCTTCAGGAAATTCGAGAGAGGCCCTGGTGCGCTAGTACCAAGAAAAGGACCAATTGCTGAAAAATCTGATATGATGATGTGTGTGAATATTTTCTGCAGTGCGGCAGAAAGCTGCATCTCAAGAGCAGCAAAAAAAATAAAAATAAAAATAAAAAACAATTGGATACACGGATAGGATGTGCTCAACACGACAATCAATTAACACTCAAAGAAGCAAACACAGAGGTATAACAAAAGAAATCTGGTGAGGCTGAGGTCAACCCTCCGTGTTGTGGGAACTGATAAGACACACAAATACAGCATATACAGCACAGCGCGACTGAACAGTGGGAGGTGGGAGGACGACGAAGAGGAGGGTTGCATTGTGTTACTGTACACTGACTGGGATGCAAATAAATGACTTCATTGGCAGTCTGATTGTAACCCGTTCGGCTGCAGTGAGAGATCCCTCCCCTATTAAAGGTCTCTGTGATTTAATTAGCTTCAGAATAATTCTATGCTTTTTTTCCACACTTACCTTCGTGTGTGAAACGTGCTATACAAATAAACTTGCCTTAACTGGAACATGTACCGATGACAAATGTATTTTTGAAGGTACTTGTCCCTAGTCTAAGTACATCATCCAACCCCACTTCAAAACACCCAGACTATCCCTTTAAAGAGGCACTGCATCATCTTTAAAATGCTCCAGCGTTGAATTCATTAAAAGGGCAATTTTCCAGGTTCAGTTCAGTTTACTTGTCATGAGGAGAACGATGTGAAAACAGCTGTTCAATGTCTTCTGTTGCTCTGTCCGAAAAATGACCCCGATGATGTCATCAGGGGGTTATCTGCTTGATATTAGAGATTACAAATCTATACTAGAAAAATCTGAGCTAGGAAAATGGGAGTAAGAAGCGGTAATAACCTAAATGTCATGTAGTAATAACCAGCCTTTACCAGCAGGGGGCGGTACTGACATACTGATAACAAATAGTGCCGGCCTGTCGCTTCAACCGCAGAGAAGTGACTCGGCTGTCCAACAGGTAAGAACAGGGAAGCTTTCCTGTGGGGACATTTCGTAGGACATTTTGTAGCATTCCTCATGCTAGAAGCATGATGAATTAAACGATAAAAACCTTCTACGTTCTGTATTCTACAACAAAGCAGCTGGTGAAATGTCTATGAAGAGAGATGAGTAAGATAAGAGCTTGCCTTTCTGTGTGTGCGTGTGTGTGTGTGTAGGGCAGCGTCTCACTGAATACAACTGTTGTACAACACATCTCTTCACTTTAGTCCTGACAGAGGGGCGATTTTCTCATTACCTCCAACTCTCGCCCTTCCCCCCCGTCCGTCCTCCATCTTTCTCCTCTGACCGTCAATCAACTAAGGGCACACTTCCACTCTCATCCCTCACCTCCATCCCCCCCCCCCCAGCTTCAGTCCGTCAGGAGCACCAGTTCCCCCTCGCTCCTCTCCCCCCCGTCGCTCTCCTCTCCTTCGCTGTACGGAGGGCGCTCCCTCTCGCGCTCCCTCTCTCGGGGCAGGGAGGTGGGCGTGGCCTGGCCCTCCACCCGACGCAGCGCGGGGGGTACCTGCGGCAGGTAGTGCTCCAGCAGCGCGGGGTGAAAGGGCACGGTCGCCACCGAGACCGAGCTGGCGCCGCCCGGGTACTGGCCGTCGCTGTGGGAGTAGTGGAGCTGCTGTGGTTCCGTTTGACTGGAGAGACGGGAAGGGACACGAGTGCAGTGAGATAATAAATAGCATTACTTCATGCTGCTACGTCAGTTTGGTGACATTCTGAGTCATATGATGGAGGTTACGATAAACCAATTGGCCCGGTTGAAACATCGGTACAAAAGACCAACAAAATACAACAAGCTTATGTACAAAAAAAAGTTGGGGGGGGGAGAAAGTTAAATCTGATTCCCATGGTGTATTTCAGCAGGAAACACCCAACTGGGCTGACGGTTGTGTTACATGTGCCACTAACGACAGGTGGAAGCAACACAAAAACAATCTGCAGCGTAAATCCATTTTCTGTCGGATTCTGGGTCAATTTCTGGATGAATTCAGTAACCATGGTACCCTGTATGGCGGCTGAGGCTCATGGGTAATGTTTGGACCCGTGCCAAACTGCAAAACAAAGCTGAAATAATTGAAAACTGGTGGTCATAACATAAACCTATATATTCTTTACATTATCCGTGGCAAGTCACACAGTTTGCTCTGCCCTCAGAAAGTAGAAGCTGCTCAGCTTAGCTGGCCAACCTGCAGTACACACACACACACGCGCGCACACACACACACACACACACACACACACAAATAACAAATGAAAATATAATGGTCTTTCAAATACTTTGAATAGAAAGCGATCAGAAAGAAGGCTAAGACCGTCGTGACATTCTGATATTGACGTTTTATATGTGAAAAGCAGTCTTCAAGACGTGGTGAGTGTATCTGTGACGCAAAGGGAAAAATAAACAAAGAAAAAAGACAAACACTCAAAACCAACCACACGTAACAGCTCCAACCTCCCAACTCCTCCAGCTTAACTAGTTGGAGGAGTTAGCGGGGAACAATGGCGAGGGATGCTATTCATCTCCAAGGACGGACACAAAAAAAAAATGAAAAAACACAGCGCAGCTGCGGTATCAATACTCCACTTTTGTTTGTGTCTCGGAGAATAAAAGAAGAGCTCTGGGAGCCGCGGGCATTGTCTGCGATGTGTGGAGGTGCAGAGAAGACTCCTGTCAATGGAGTGAATCGTCAAACGACGTCTGCCAGGGACAAACTCTATCGGTGTCTTGTGAGTCGTGCGGACCACCTCCGGCCTTGGTGTGCGCTCGCGCTGTTTCATCTACCTGTGCGTGTAGGTCGCCCTCTGCTCCTGCCGGCGGTTCTTCATCATGGCCTTGTACTCGCCCACCCGCAGCCTCCGCCCCTCCACGATGCAGGTCCGCTTGGGCCGGGGTTTGTACTTGTAGTCCGGGTAGCGCTCTAGATGCTGCCGGCTCAGCCTGGCCTGCTCCTCGTAGTAGGGCTGCTTCTCCTGGTTGGACATGCCCTTCCACCGGGAGCCTGAGCATCAGGACGCATTAGGGGGGGGGGGGGGGGGGGGGGGGGG